GTCCCTGCGGCTAACTGCTCCTCTGTCTGGGTTCCTGGCTTTTAATCCCCTTTCTCCCGGTCTCCTGTCCTGTTTTGGGCATGCCTGAGTTCCCTCTCCTCACCTGAAATATCTTAATAGTAGTTATATCCATAATCCTACCCCTAAATAATAGTGTTCAGATTTGATCAACATGTGTTCCATACTTTATCCATATTACCTACTTTTTTTTTTTTCTTTTATGCTTGTTTGACCTATCCACTGCCATCAAGCTGATTCTCACTCATAGTGACAAGAGTAGAACTGTCCCATGGAGTTTTGAAGGCTGTAAATCTTTACAGAAACAGTCTCATTTTTCTTCTGTGGAGTGGCTGGTGGGTTTGAACAGCTGATCTTTTTGGTTAGCAGCCCAATGCTTTAACTGCAATGTAACTGAGCTCCTTTATAGTTGTTAAATTGTAGGTATAATTTTATGTGCATTGTATTAAAAGATTATACCACTTTATTGTTTATAACAGCTTTATTGAGATAGAATTCACATACCATACAAATCACTCATTTAAAGTGTCCAATTCAATTATCTTTAATATATTCACAGAATTGAGCAACTGTCATCACAGTCATTTTGGAATATTTTCTTTACCCCAGAAAGGAATTCCACTCCCATTAGCAGTCTCCCCATTTCTTCTGCCTTCCATCCTAGGCAACCACTAATCTATTTTATTTCTATATAGATTTGCCTAGTGTAGACATTACATATGAATGGAATTATAAAATATAAAGTCTTTTGTGACTGGCTTCTTTCCTTTAGCATAATGTTTTAAGGTTCATCAATGAGTAGCATGTACTCATCCTATTTATTGCCAAATAACATTTTGCTATATGGGTATACTGTATTTTGTTTATCATTCATCAGTTGATGGATGTTTAGGCTGTTTGCACTTTTTTGGATATTATTCTACGTATGTACAAGTTTTGTGTAGACATACGTTTTTGTTTTTTCTGGTTATACACATAGGAGTATTGCACTGGCCTATCTGTGTTAAAAAGCAAAGATGTCACTTTGAAGACTAAGGTGCACCTGACCCAAGCCGTGGTATGTTTAATAGCCTCATATGCATGTGAAAGCTGGACAATTAATAATGAAGATCAAAGAAGAATTAATGCCTTTGGATTATGGCATTGACAAAGAATATTGAATATAACATGGATTGTTAGAAAAATGAACAAATATATCTTGGAAGAAGTACAACCAAAGTGCTTTAGAAGTGAGGATGGTGAGAATTTGTCTTGTACTTTGGACATGCTATCAGGAAGGACCAATCCCTGGAGAAGGATATCATGCTTGGTAAAATAGATAGCCAGTGGAAAAGGGAAGGTCCTTAATAAGATGTACTGACACAGTGACTGAGATGATGGGCTCAACCATGGCAAT